CCCGGCTGCCCCATGGCTCTGAGCGACAGGGCTTCATTGCTGCATTGCCCTAAAGAAGTGAAGCCAGACCCTGATGACTAGCCTACACCCTAGTAATCACCTTCATGGAGCACAGATGAACGACTCTAAAAGTCCTGAGGAAGAAACCTCTGTGTAACTCAAAACAACTCCGCTCTCCCCAGTCATGCGGGCCCATGGGTGCATATGCATGTATGCCCAAGAGCACGCTTGTGAATGCACACACACCCAACTCTCCTCTCCACCAGGGGAGCACATCCTCTCATCCTCCAGCACCCTCTTCTCTGGGCACCCTGTACTCTACACGCCCTACTCTCTCCCTATGCCTCCACCCCACCCTCCCATAATTGTATGTCTCCCTCATCAGTCTCAACAGCACGGAACACAGCCTGGCTCTCCACCAGCACATGGCATGGACACAGGAGGCCTTCGTTGTGCTTGGCTTTGGGGGCTAGGGGCTGTGGACAGGTCTATGAGTAGGTGAGTGTCCCCTAAACGATTATCAGCACTCGTACAGGCATGGTCAGATGCTAACTCTCTCAGGCCTGGGGAGCTGACCACAGCCCAGCATCATACCAATACCAGTGCATCCGTTACCCTGCAAGACAGGGCAGAGGCATGGGGCAGGCAGGGGACAGCCAGAGCTTGGAAGAACATAAAGTAATCCGCTTCCCAGAGTTGTGGTGCCCATATCCAAGCTTCCTAAGGTGGGGCCTGGCCCCAACCATCACTCACCCAGCTCTTAGGAGTACAGGTCTGGCAGCAGCGGCCCACAAAGGGGCGATACTTCCCCAGGAACGGAGTGACAGACTCCAGTTTCATCCCAAAGCCCGAGGACGACAGGCTGGTCTGGAAAAGGGCCACAGGGAGAGGTAAGAGGACTCCAGATGCTTGGCAAAGGGTAGGAGGATAGGAGCAGGGGGCCCAACCAAGCAACAGGAGGATGGACAGGTGACGAGGAGGTGTGTTCTGGGAACAGGGAGGCACCACACCACCGCCTGGCCGTGGTGCTTGTTTCTCACATTCTGCTGGGTCTGGAGCCTGGCTCCCAACATGGTGTCCAGGGGACCTATAGGGGATGAGCTGCCTCTGCCTTCTCCAACAGGAACTGCCCTGGGGAGGCAGAAAAAAATGGAGGGAGTGCCTGGCATCTAGGCCATAACCTGGGTCCGGGGGGGTGATTCCCAGGCCACTGATGGCAAGACAGGCAATACCCAAGCTGGCACTGATGAGAAGCACTTGGGCTGGAAGCTGGGCAATGGGCTCCAGTCAAAGCCCCATCTCACCCCACTTGGTTCTACCAAGAGCCAGATGCCCTCAAAAGGTCTCTGGGCCCCAGGGCCCGGGGCTCCTTCAGTCCACCACGAGGGTGTCAGCTGTCTCATCATCATCACTTCCCCGCACGACCGGGCGGTGCTGAGGCACAGACCCTTCTGTGCAGAGTGAAAAGGGCAGAAGCACAGAGGGTGGCACGAGGCTGCCAGAGCAGAACAGACTCGGCACCACTCAGCCAGCCACCAGGCCCTCACCCGGCCTGCCTTCCCTGCCAGAGGGCTGCCCTCATCCACTCGTTCCAGGGATGCGGGCTGGCTAATGGGGGCCAGGGGGGACTGGGGATTTGGACACATAGAAATGCCACCCAAAATGCTCAGCAGACCAGACACAGGACACTTTTCCATGGTATACCTGCTCTCACACAACACTTCAATAGAATGCCCACTTGGCCCCCTCCTCAGAGACCCCCTGCCCGCCACTAAGTTCTCCTGAACAAACATCTATTCCCCATACAATAGCACTGAACAAACCCCCATGTATCAGACCCTAAAAATCCCCACTTGCGTGATCACGCCCCGTCCTTGATGAGCTGCAGCTGGTGTTGGGTGCTGTTGAGTTGATTCTGAGTCCCAACCACCCACAGGACAAAGCAGAAGTACTCCACAAGCTGGTCCGAGGATTTCCGTTCTCCCATTCCTAGCCCAATGTGTGCCAGCCCGCCTGCCAGTGCCTGCTCCTGTCCTCCCCAGCCCACCAAGTTCTGCCAATCGCTCTCATCCCTGTGTCTCTGTCACCCCTAGGTTTTCTCTCTCCTGGAGTCCCCAAGCCGAGTTTGAAGCCCAGGCTAAGATCTCACCTCCACACAGCATCTGAAAGTGTCCAGAGGGTAGGGCTGCAACCAACTCAGCTCGATGCCCAGCAGTTGGCCCTGCCCATAGGAAGCCCACAGGAAGGGCTCACTGACTGACTGCTTTCCATACCCCAGAATTCCTCTGTGTCCTCCTCCTCCTAGTACCGATCTAGAACCAATAACTCAAGAAAATAAAAAGCCATGGTGACATTAAGTGCACGGGCCCCGGGAGGCTCGTCCCACACGCACACTCTACTACAAAAAATGTCTCTCAGTGTCAACAGGCAGCTGCACAGGAAACCCCTCAGCTGAAGTTGCACTATAGGGAGGCCCACCTGCTGTGTAAGAAGGGCTGTTCCCCGGCTTAAGGCCTCTGCTTCCCTCAAACATATAACCCCACCAGACCTGGGCAAACCCCAAAGGGGTGGAGTCAAGGCCAGGCCAAGGGATAAGCCTGATCCACCAAGGCAACCACCCAGAGGTCAGTTCTGCGTTCCAGCCCCTTAACTCAAGCCCACTGCCACTGAATGGATTCTGAGTCACCGCAGCCCTACTGGGCAGAGAACTGCCCCCTGTGGTCTTCCAAGGGCTTCAAAGAGTAGACAAATTTGAAATCAAGGGGTAGACAGTCTTTCTTCCTTCAAGCAGCTGGTGGGTTCGAACAGCTCACGTGTGGTTAGCTACTCAACCCCTAACCCACTACTACACCAGCACCCAAGCCCCCACCTCTCAAGGGTTTGGTTGGTCTGTAGCTCTGGCCTGGATGCCCCACCTCTGATCCCCACCCTCCATGCCCAGACCCTTCACACTGGCAGCCTAAGGGCCAAAGTCATTTCCCGCCCATTTGTTCTCCTTGGGTCCAGGCCGTGTTTTCAAACCTCATGGATTCGTACGCACATTTAAAATCCAGAGTTTGTTATTTATTTTCTAAGAAGCCAGTTTCCAGCTGCTGCTGTGAGAAATCGGAGACCTGGCAGCTCCGAATGCGACCCCCGGGGCTGCTGCTGGCCAGGGCCCAGCCACCCTGTGGGCTCTCAGCTTGGTCACCCCATCAGCCCCCGAGGCCTGAGGCCTGGCCCAGGGATGCGCATCCGAAGCTGCAGCCCTGGATCAAAGGATAACACCCGGCCTTTGTTCCCCATGCTCAACAAAAGACAAAAACCACGCAGCTGCCCATGAGTCCACGCCCAATCGAGCGTGGCGCCCTCCCTCCCCCGCCCGCCAGGGCAGGAACGCCCAGGAGGTTCTGAGGCGATGACTCCCAGGGGAGTAGAAAGCGAGCGCCTCCTCTTTCTCCCGAGGAGCAGCTGCTGGTTTGGAACTGCCGACCTTGCAGTTGGAGGCCCAACGGGCCAACCACCCAGAGAACATCCTTTAAGGTTCCCCCTGACCAAAGCCCCTCGCCTCCCCGTCTGCCCCCCGCGGTCTCCCGGACACGCTTCCCCTGCCAGGTCCCAGGCAGGGGCCCCAAGATGGACGAACAAGGCGCGAGCCTGAATGGCCGGGCTGGCCTTCCACCCACGGGCTCCCCCCGCCTCGCCCCCGCCCTGGGTCCAGGGTGACCGGAGGCCAAGGCCATGCAAAACAGGGCTCTTGGGTGTCACTGCCCAAACCGCGGCACCCCCAGAAGGTCTAGTAAGCGTGGCAGGCCTCGCTCAGCCTGCTCGCGTCCAACTACCGCCCGGCTCCCCAAAGGGCCGCCGAGGCCTGGTTCCCGAAGCTAGAAGGTCTCTGGACCATGGCGGGCCGGTTCTGACCTGCCCCCTCCGAGCGCTGACCGCCATCTCACCTCACAAGAGCCGCCAACGCCGGCTGAGGCAGTGGGTCTACGAAGGAGGAAAGCGCGCAAGCGCGGCCTCAGGGTCTGGCGGGAAAGCAGCCCTGAGAGCCAACCAGGATGCACGCTGGGCCTGAAGGCCCGCCTCCCTGCGTAGCCCCGCCCCACGCTGCGCTCCACGCTGTGTGGCCACGTGGCTCCAGTGGCGCCTTTGTTTGAGGGTGGTAGGTCGCACCTGCTAACTACAAGTAACTAACTTGTATTATTTTTTCTCTGAATTTGCCTTAACGTAAGTCCTAAGTGTCACTTTCAAGGCCGACGCTAGACTTTTTGCCGCCACTATAAAATATAAATAATACGAGTACTGTCTGCTAAATTCAAGAAAATGTATGTATGTATGAAATAAATAAATAAAACAAATTTGTTGACACAAATCAGCTATTCAGACAATTTAGGTAATTTAACTAGCTAATAAATTCAGACAATTTAGGTAATTTAACTAGCACTATCACAAAGTACGATGTGTGTCCTCTGAGAGACAGTTACAAAATGTTTTTGTCGTTCCCAATGCCAAAAAATGCCATTGTTCATTAAGTCCAAACAATGGTGGTCGAATTCTAACAAATGATCAACAATGGGAACTCTGATAAGCAGTTCTCAATAATCAGTTCTCAACAATTATTTATTATTAAAGTTTAACGTAAAATTAACAAATATAAAATAATATAAAACTCATATATATATACATATATATACATACATATATATATATAACCATGTGGCTATTTCGCAGCCGAAAACCGTATATTCCCTTCCTGTTCTCCCGCCATTCCCTAGCTTGTCGTGCATTCTTTCCAAAAATTGGGATTTTTTAAAACGCTGCCGGACGCGGGACAAATTGTTAAAAATCGGGACTGTCCTGCTAAAAGCGGGACGTCTGGTCACCTTAAGCTAAGGGGGTGCTGGGTGGGTAGCTGGGGTGTCTGATCCAGATGGGATAGGTTCCTCATGACTACAGTGGAGTCTCAGCGAGTCCTTGGCCTTGCCCAAGGACTCCTCCGTGAGACATCAACAGTACTTAAAGGCTGGACAGTGACTCGTTCTAATGAAAGGTTTCCAGGATATACGCAGCACGGAGCTAGCCTTTAAGCTGTACCAACCTTCTGAGGTGGGTATTCCAGAAAGAAAAGGTTATCACCACGAGCCAGGTTGGGGTCGTGAAACACGGCAGGCCTGCCAGGTGTCATTCTTTGCTGTTGATTGCAGCTCTGCCTCGTTGTCAGGGACCTGCTGCAGCCACAAGGTGTCTGGGTTTCAGCTGGGCCTGTGGCCAGTGTTTATTCCTGCGGCTATTGGATTAATATCAGACTCCTGTCTCAGCCCCAAGCGCCAATGCAAAGGGAGCCCATATCCGTTCACTCATCATTTGGCTACGTTCCCAGGGACAGGTTAGTGGTCCACGCAGTATCACGGGAAGAAAAAAAGAGACAAGTGCACGTCTGCGCTTTGTTCTTGCACTGCCTCCAGGTGATGAGCCCACCTGACATTCCCGAGGATCCCATGTCAGAGGACATACTTGATGCTGCAGAAGCAAAGCCACATCTGGGGCCCTAGACAGCAAAATCCGTCCCCCTCTCTCACTCACTGCCGAGAGGTGCAGGTGCCCCCACCCATCCCCTCCAGGGAATATTTCTCTAACTATCCGTGCCTCACTCTGCCCAGGCCTTATGCCCCTCTGTAGCCTTGCACTGTAACCCAGCTTTGCATGCCCTTCCAGCACTCACAAAACCCACTTGTGCCCCGTCTTGTCTTTCTTATGTAACAATGTACATTGGCCACAACCAGACACTAAGATTCTAAAGCTAAGAGGTGGAGAGGATCAAAAAAAACTGCCTTTAGAAGTTGTAAGTTGCCTCCAGGAAGGCAGATTTGACTGTACTTGAGGATAGGATATTCCTTTGTTCAGGGACTAGCACATCATCCCCTTGAGGAAACAAATGCCTCCACACACCATTCTGAGAGAAGCCAACCATGGACACACACACACACACACACACACCACTGAACAGAGAGAGACAGGGAGAAATGGTTTAGGCTAAGCCATCAGTTCTCAGCCTGTGGGTTGCAACCCCTTTGGGGCTTGAACAACCTTTTCACAGGGGTTGCCCAATTCATAACAGTAGCAAAATGACAGTTATGAATTACATAATTACGCTCAACTTGAGGGAAGAGGTGGAGTCTAGCCCCTTCACCTAGGTTCTATGATAGCGTGTTTCCTCCCAATTGTCCATCTTGGCTGGGAACAGAGAGAGGTGCTGAGGAGTGTGCCAGGCCCTCTCTGCCTTCCTCTCCTGAATGGATTTAGCTAACCCCATCTACTGCCTGCTGATCATTGGTGGAAGGCAGACTGGGCATATAGACCCTCTATGAGTAGAATAATTTTAACCCATCACAATGATCTACTTATAACCCCTTCCCAGGCGACGGACAACAGAAAAGTGGGTATAGGAAGACATCGGTCAATGTAATACATGGGGGAAATATTTATAAATTATCAAGGGTTCATGAGAGAGGGAGGGGGGAAATGAGCTGATACCATGGGCTCAAGTAGAAAGAAAATGTTTTGAAAATGGTGATGGCAACATTTGTACAAATGTGCTTGACCCAATCCCAGTAAACATTTCAACCATGTAAACTTACTCCAAAACAAGTCAGGAAGAATAGAAGTCAGCACATGCCTGAGTAAAGGTGGGGGAGCACTTGCCTTCTAAGATATTCAGACATACCATTACAGTGTTGTTAAAACCAGCCAAGGAAAACATGGTGCTCGTAATAGAACAAACTAAGATGCCATTGGGACGAAACGAAGAGTTCAGAGACGGATCGCTGGTTATAGGAGAACTTAATCGGTGAGCTCTGGGATCACACAAAAAAGATCCTGGAGAGAGTGTGAGGGAAGTGTGGAATAGAACTCAAAATCAGACAAAAAGACTAGGCTCACTGGTCAAAGACCGGCGGAACCCTGGAGACACTGGCCTCTAGTCATCTTTCAGCTCCGGAAAGGAACTCACCCAGTGGCTCCATTTTCAGCCAAACGACAGGTCTACAATGGAAACAAGAACTCCAGTGCGGTCGACACACCTTAGAAGAATCAGTCACCTGAGCTCAACAGAGCTGCATTACCGCAGGAGGAAGCTCAGAAGGGTTGGGAAAGGCAGACTGGAAACATGGAGCAAGTGACACATGTGGGAATTGCAATCCATGGGATGAAACAAAACGCATATGAATTGCAGAATGGAAAAGCGATCTGTTGTGAACATCTTCACCCAATTCTCCAGGAAAAGATTTATTTTAAAGAAGGAGCCCTGGAAGCACAAACAATGGAGCACTCAGTTGTTAACTGACGCTGGGGAGGTGAAAGATGCTCTGCAGGAGAAAGACCCAGCGATCCGCTCCCAGAAGGATCACAGCCAGGCAGCTCCACTCCGCCCGAGTGGCTCTTGAGGAGTTGGGGAGGACCCTGCAGCACCTCACAACAATGTACGATTTTCTTTAAAGCAAAGAGTTCTTGTTAGAACAACTCCACCCTCCTCACTATTTGGGGGGGAAATCTAGCTGCCTCTGTAGACAAGGTGGACCCTGATGGCGGATTAGAGAGTCAAGGTGAATGGTCAAACATGTAAGAGAACATATGTGAGACCCAAAGGAACCAAGCCAAGCCCACTGCCATCAAGTTCATTACCACTCATACTGACCCTATGGGAGAAAGACGAGACTTTCTTTTCCCATAAAGAGTTGGTCTCAGGAGGTCACAGTGGCACTTCTACCCTGTCCCATAAGGTGGTTATGAGTCTGCATTGACTTAGTGGAAGGGCGGGGGGAGGTGACCCTCTAGAGCAAATTTCCAATAAATTCCCAAACATATTTGGCCTTCCACCCTCATTTCAGGAAAAAAAAAATCACTCAGCTGACCCCCTGGCTTTTAAAAACTTTTGTGCTATAGCCCGTAATGCAGGATAAAGCCTAGGTATCTTTTACAGCCCCTTGATTGTTCTAGTGCCCCAGTGGCCCCTGGGGAGGGTATGGCCCCCTTTGGGAAGCACTGCTATCTATGGATTTTTGTTTGTTTGAGCAGAAGCTGATATACAATGTCAAGCACCACTGTTACTGCAGTTAACAGTCGATGTTCACCCAACACCACTGCCAGGCCTCCTAATTTGAGGTGCAAAGGGAAGAAAATGTTTATTAGACAAATTTTCAAAGCACTGGAAAACAAGAACGAAAGAAAAAAAGAAATGAAGAACTTTGTCAAAATCAAAGACACTTGTTCCACGTTACAGATAACAAAATTAGGAGAAGCTACCTGCAAAGGCTAAAACTAACAAGTGATTATGTTCAGAGAACTCCTGCAAAGAGGAAGAAACAGACAAAATGGTGAGTAAGCAATTTCTTTAAAGTTCTTATCTTTACAAGCAAACCCCCAGAGTCAATAAACATACAAGGAGATCCAAAATCATTAGGAGAAAAACGCAGTTCAAAACAAAAATATCACCTTTGTATCTCTGTGGTAGGCAGAATTCTAAACGAATGCTATTACTCACAGCCTTCCACGCTGTGTGTGCAGGACTTGTAACTCGCTTGTATCCAATAGAATGTTACAAATGTGATGTGCTGTTAACCCCTTCATTCGGTTATGTTATACGAAAAGGGTGAAGGGAGTATTTAAAGCCACCAAACAATTTACTCATTCATAACCCATGGGACGTAGAGTGCCTTCCCACATTTTCCTTCTCCAGGGGGAGGTTCATGAGGATCTCTGGTGGCGCAGTGGATTACAGGTTGGGCTGCTCACGGCAAGGTCAGCAGTTCAAATCTACCAGCCACTCGGAGGAAGAAAGACAGCTGAGTCTTTCCACTCCCATAAAGAGTGCCAGTTTCTGAATCCCACAGAAACGGGTCTGCCCTGTCCTGGAAGGTAGCTGTGCGTCAGAGTGGACTTGCTGGCAGTGAGCTTGGTCTGGTTTGGGA